CTTTGCAACTTTACAGATCTTCTTTATGCACCAAGAGCTTGTAACACTCCAAAGAGAAAGGAAAACTTGAAATCGCATCATATGACCCCTTTAAAATATGTATGTAATAAAAATGTGTTTTTCTGACATTGCCTGTGTACCCCATACGAATTACCTGCATGCCATTGACTTCCTTTCATCTGTTGTGTCACAGGAGTTTGCATTTCTTATAATATTGACATATTTTATAATATTGTGTTTGCCTGCTGCTCCACTCTGAGGTGAGATAATTCTGTGGTGTTTTTATTTTTTGTAAATGTTTCTCTTCCATTTGGTTATGTGTTCATGCCTTTAGAGAGACATAATGCAGATATAATGGAGCCAGCAGTCAGTGTATACACCACTGAATGTCCTTGGTGTGACTGCATGCCTTTTCCTCACTGTTAGAAATGATTCACCCACCCCTCCTTTTCTCTCCCCGCTCTGATTGGCTTGATGTCCCCCGTCACTCCTTCTTCCCATGCTGCATTAGCCAATCAGAACCACCGCTCCCATTGAAAGTGTGTATGATTGGCTGGCTGGCCTGTGATGCTGCTGCCTCTCTTTAAGAAGCAGTCTAGACTGCAGTGACAGGTTTTTCAGTGAGAATCGAGCTGCTGTTGTCTTGCAACACGTCTGACTTTCATCTGGAAATTCCTTATACTACATTTTACAGAACATTGTGATTTTTTCTTTGTCTGAATCCATTCACTGGTCTCATTGCTCCTCTTTCACTGTCACAAGTCAGCACATCAGCTGAGCATTTTCCCATCATTTCATTCATGATCCCTTACGTTTAATCTGTTCATCTCCCATTTTTCCAATCGTTTTCCAACCTCACTTTACTAAAAAGAGGGAAAACTGAGCACTGCATAGCCCGAAGGTGAGTACACTTGATTAGAGTTTAGAGTGCTGCAGTCAATACAGATGCATTTTACTGCACTCTCTGCTTTCTTCTTGTGTCGTGTCTAATGCAACAGGTTCTGTATGTACCTCATATATTGGACAGGGCATGTCATTGCCAAGGGGAATGCTTTGTAAAAATTTGCTAGAATACATTATACTATTATTATTATTATTATGCATAAAGGGACCCCACTCATCTCTCTTCCTTTGTTAAGCAGTCAAAGTATCAGCTGAATGATTATAATGTTCAGATTAGTTAGTATTATGGTGATATCTTCTCCCAGTGCTTGTTTTGTGCCTTAGGGGATTATATTGTTGAATATCCCACACAGTGTCATAATTTGAATTTTATGGATTTTTTTTTATATCCATGTAAAGCTGTGACGTGCATAATGAACATTTGATCAGAGGGTTTGCTAGAGTTTTTGCATCCCACTGTATATGAAATATATTGTTGGCAATTTATATTTGTGTATATGTTGTTGCTGTTGATGTATGGACCCTTAAAGGGACAGTTCACTTAAAAATACACATTCTGTCATCCTTTACCAGGGCTCGACGCTTACTTTTCTTTTTAGGAGCACTTGTGCTCCTAACTTAAGAAATGGTCGCACTGTCGAGCCCTGTTTACTCACCCTCATGTCGATTCAAACCTGTATAGCTTTATTCTGTGGAACACAAAATAATATATTTTGAGAAATGTCTCAGTGGTTTTTTTTTGTCTATACAGTGGATGTCAGTGGTAACCAGGAATTGATACAGGTTTGGAACAACGTAAGGGTTAGTAAATGATGACAGAATCTTAATTTTTGGGTGAACTGTCCCTTTAAGTAGGTCTTGAAATGTAGCTGTGATTCTTGTCTGAGACTTAATGCATTTCTCAAATTTAAAACAAGGTCAAACATATAATAATGCAGATTATTATTGATATCTGTTTAATCTCTTTGAATAAGGTGATTGTTTTCTCCTAACAGGAATCAGTTCCACAATAGTATGAAAAAATAGGCTTAGACAGGACCTGTCAGCAAATTAATCGCTAAAGCTGTTACACAGATTTCTTAAGAGCTGTAGGGCCAAAAACCAATAGACCTCAAATTTCAGAGAACAGCAGAAACATCTAATTTCATCCAAAAATGTCTCCGCTTATCGCCCTGTCCTGATGTCACATGGCAGTATCAGTGTTTTGGCTTTGCATCAGTTTTCCCAAAATGTTTCGTAACCATTATTAGTTCTAAAATGCAGACCTCTTTAAAATCCAGTGCTGCTATTTAGTATGCAAGAGACATTTATTATATCTCAAAAGTGCTTTATTTCCTGAAAAACCCACAACCATTGCTTGAATGTGTTATAACATCTCATTTAGAAGTTGATCGATTTAGCAGTGTTTTATGCAGTAAATATTCAGCTATACATATAATTTATACACACACACACACATGCATATATATACACATTTATTCCTGTGATGGCAAATCTGAATTTTCTTTCTATTATCACTATTGAAAGCAGATATGCTGCTTAATATTTTTGTGGAAATGTTGAAATTTTTAAAGGATTCTTTGATTAATTTAAAGTTTAAAAGAACATTTATTTGACATTAGGGGTGGGAATCACAGGGTACCTCACGATTCGAAACACGATACATGGCTCACAATACCGATAATATCACGATACAGCAATTCTGTGATAATCGATATATTGCTAGACACTCCTATAATGATACATCACAAGATCTGTCTAACTTTGAACACAAAATGCAGGTTTGTTTCTCTTTATTCAAGTCACACGATATGCAAGATGCACAATATTAGATTTTGCCAATATTAGATTTTGCCGATATCCGATATGCCGATATTTTTAAACTAATTTTGGCCTATAACGGATGCCAATACCAATAGGCTATATTTCCTTTTGCTTGGAAAAAACGCCAAGTCTCTTCTGTGCAGAGATTATAAACAAATTATATTTAATTTTGGTTCGTTTTTAACAAAAACTACTTGTTCAATTAAAAAAACAAAACAATAATGGATTTCTTTTTTAATGAGAGTACGTTGAAAGCTTTAACAATACTATAAATCAACTATAAATCAATCACTGCATTTTTTCCCTTCAGACAGATGCAGTGGTAACCTTAACATTTTATTTGAAGATTTGTAGATGGTCTAAAGCAAAAGAGGTTCTAAAAATACTGAAAAACTTTTAGATATTTTATTTAAAGATTTTATTTAGAACTTTAAGTTTTCATAATCTTTTTGGAAAAAATATATCACACATTAATGAATAAATCTGTATATATAAAGTGATTTAATTTACAAGTGACATGTTTGTGGTTTTTATTCAGCTATAGCTTCTGACCCTTAAATAAGAACATACTGGTGATTTCTATGACACCAGTTACTGCTTTATTTAATCTGAAACATGATCTTGATGTTATTTGTGTATTTTTACATTTTATTACAAGTAGGCCAACAGCGCCTTCTAAGTAAATACAATGTCGGCATAATTTTTCATATTGGGCTGATGCGATTTTTACATTTTAAGCCTTATCGGCCGATTACGATAACGTTCTGATAATATTGTGTATACCAAATAAAAAAAATGTAGCACACTGCTCTTTTCTAAATTTAAAAAGGCAACAAAAAAAGGCAGTGCAGTGCTCCTCGCATTTTCAAACCTGACAAACGTGTTCTGTCTGATCGAGGCCTAATTGTTTAACCGGCAAGGCTATAAAGCACATGCAAATAATGTACTTTTGTGATTGTGAATAAGTGCAGTGTCCCGTGAGTGTAACTCTACTACTGGACTTAAATGTAGCTGGGGCATCTATTATTTTACTCACACTGCTGTCCGCCATCCCATTAAAAACCTATTTTGCTTGAGCTAGTTAACTTATGTCCACGTTTCCCTCATTCATGTGTTGAGCGCCACCTCAAGGAGCCATGAAGTAGCGACGTTGGGAGCAGGGAAATCTATTTAGAGTGCCTTATTTTGTTAATTAAAATATTGATATTTGGTGCCAGCGGATCAATTTTCGTATCGCACGGAGAAGGACAATGATATATTGCACTACCAATATTTTGTCCCACCCCTATTTGAAATAAAAATTATTAGTAACATTATTAATCTTTACTGTCACTTTTGACAGTTGACTTCTGTCATTTTTTATCAATTTAATGCATCATTGCTGAAAGGAAACCCAAATCCCTTAACCCCAAACTATTGAACTATATAATTTATATGTATTCAATATCTATTCCATATAAAGGTTTTTAACACCCCTCCAGTTGGGATGTTATTTTAATGTAATTGCATGTGTCATCATTTGAGCATACAGCCTGTGCTAGTTGGGCTGCATGAGCTGTCCTGGGGCTTTATGTTGTGCTTGACATGCAGGTACATCTCAGGTTAGTTTTATTTATAGGTGAAGTGTGTAATTTCTACACCCGATTGAATTGCAAAAATTACAGTTTCAGACATTATGCCACCCATTTCTGTCACATCTACCAAGGGTGACTTAAAACATAACCATGACTACTATACAGACCGTCCTTTGTGACAAAGTCGGCAACCATGTGATGTTTGATACGTGAGGTGTTGACATTCACGTGACTATTGCACACAATTAGTAAATACCTTGCGCATGTATTAGTCTGGCTTTCCCACTGTTTACATGTAATTCCCTTTAAACAACAGGCTTAGTGAAGTGGAAGAATGTGCCGTTGTCCCCCCTCCGAGTTGACTTCTGAGCAGTGATTTTTAACCCACTGCATTGCAGGTTTGACCTGTGGTGAGGACGCTCTGTAATTCTACAGGTGATGGTTTTGACATCACTATACGATCATATACTGTGTCTTTGTAATGCTTTAAAGTCCATTCAGTCATCAGCTGTTGACTGATGCTCTAAATACCGTACTGTCTTCCCGTGGTGTGGGATCAGTCGTTCCAATAAACAGGACTGATCAGATTTCACAGAGCACATAGTGGCCCATTTACAGACCTGCCGTTTTCCAATGAATTTGACCCACTAATATTCTTAGAGTGGGGAAAGCAGGAAGAGAGGAGGCTGTAAGCAGGTATTAGGGGCTGCAACTCCGCAGTGTTGCACAGTGCAACTGGAGCACGACTAGCTGTATTGCTTGGCTCGGTGGGAGACTCAAACCTGAAATCAAACCAAGAAGCCGAGAGGAGATATGAAGCAGGAGTGATTGTTTTGCGGTGCTTACTGCGATGTTACATTCTGTTATGGACGTACACTGTTAGTCACGTTGTGTCCTGGTCACACCTGAATGCTTCGCCTTTGGTGTCGTGTAAGGTGGCCAGTTAATGTAAGTGCTCAAGTGTTTTTTTTGCCTGTTTTATGTAATGCTATTTGATGTTTTATTTCAAACCTTGAAATCCCACGTTTTTTGTTAAACAAATCATTATATTTTACACTTACATTAAATATAGTAAATTTCCATACTAGTAAAATTGTAACATTCCAAATATGTATATCCCACCTCCTCAAAATGCTGGTTTTGGCCTGTCTCACTTCAAAGTTCTTGACTTTTCCGACTCTATCCAATGATTAAATTCATACAATAACGTCATAATATTGTCATAATCTTCACATAATCTGATGAAATATTAATTTCATTGTAGTCAAACAAATCTGTGATTATTAATCCTGTTACCACATGATTTCCCCCCTTTTTCCAAACAATGTAACATTCTTCTAGTTTTATTTGGACTTGTCAAGTGGTCAAGTTTGTCATGTTCAACCTTCAGCCCCGTTACTGTGAGTTATTGTGAGGGGGAAAGAATATGAAACAAATAGTTTTCTTAATTTTTTGGAAAATAACTACAAACCAACATTTAGTTCCTAACTAGCTTTTTTTCAACCCTGTTATTCCATTTATTTATTTATTTTAATTAAGCATTTTGTGAATTAATTTGATATTTTTTACTAGGTCAAGGCACAGAAGCAGTGTTTTAAACTCACTTTAGATGTGTCCTAATGGTTGATTTCTAGGTTTATAATAACCATTTTCTGAAGACTAAGCACCACCTTTTCTAACCATTTGTTGAAGTTTGTTGCTGAGTTTTTGTTTACTTTGTTGTCTTTATTTTGTACTGCATATGTGAAAATATATCCTTTTGTGAAAAATGATCAAACAAATATTTTTCTTAAATTTATGGAAAGTGAATACAAACCTTTATATAGTTTTTAACTCTGTTACTCATTCTGGTGTTTTTTCCCCATCTTTTAATTATGAATTTTGTCATTATTTCACTTTCACATAATTTTTTTATGTTTTCTACTAGAAAATAACTAAAACTGAAAATAATAAAACCTACGGGGTCAGTGTTTAGATCCCAATTTTGATTTCTTGAAGTTGATAGTCAGCATCGTCAGAAGGATAAGCACCTCCTTTTACTGATCTTTTCTTGTTTGATGTTGAGAAAAGTGCCCTAAGCCTGTATTATAATTCTTTTATTTTCCTAGCTTTAATGATCACCAACACCTGTCTCTCCAACTTTTCCATTTCCCATGGTCTTTTAGGCTACATTATGCAGTCAATAAGGAAAGCTCAAATACTGTCTAATGATGTCCTTGTCTCTCTTGTTTTGACAGCTGAAGGCGTCTTTGTGGACAGGACACTTAGAGGGCCAAACAATGGAATGCTCTCTCCTGCCTACACTGCTCAGCACTCTACAGACTGAGGTTAAACGGCTTAGTTAGCAGTGTGCCTCTCCCCCAAGAACTCTTTTAGCCTGGGGAAAGTTGGGGAAAATTTTTTTCCTTCATAGTACAGCACCTTACTCCAGTTCTTTGTAGTTGTTTGTTTGGGTTTCGTTTGTCTTTGTGTGAACAAAAGTCAAGATGGATTTGGAACCGTACCTGTGGATGGTCGTGATTGGCTTCATTATAGCCTTCATCCTGGCATTTTCAGTGGGGGCCAATGACGTGGCAAACTCATTTGGCACTGCGGTCGGGTCAGGGGTGGTGACACTACGTCAGGCCTGCATCCTGGCTTCCATATTTGAGACCCTTGGCTCCATGCTCCTCGGTGCCAAGGTCGGGGAAACCATTCGGAAGGGAATTATAGATGTCAGTTTATACAATGAAACGGTGCCGGTACTGATGGCGGGAGAGGTCAGCGCCATGGTCGGTAAGTAATGGCTCATTTAAAGTTGAAACTTCAATTTCGAAGATTAATGATGGAGAAGCTTAGCGAGGCATTCGTTTATTCGCTGTAGGCCGCCAGATTCTGGGAGTCATGATCACCTGTTTTAGAGCAAGTTGTAATAGAGCATGTTAGCTGTAAAAGAGTAAAACATGTAAATTAAAAATACATCTAATTCAAAGAGCACTACATGGATGGTTAAAAAAAAAGTTATGCAGGTTTTAAATTTTTTATATCACTGGATAATGAATGGCTAGATTGTAATGTTTTTAATAGTATCCCTTCTAGAGTCTGTTTTGAAGACAGAAGGGAAGAGAACATATGGCTGGAAGACTTTTTTTTTGTTGCTCCACCTCCCACTGCAATTCCCATCTTTTTCAGGGTCTGCGGTTTGGCAACTCATTGCCTCTTTTCTGAAGTTGCCCATTTCTGGAACTCATTGCATTGTGGGATCTACTATTGGCTTCTCCATGGTTGCTATTGGCACTAAAGGAGTACAGTGGATGCAGTTAGTCAAAATTGGTAAGAAAAAAAAATCCACTATGCGATTCATTATTTATTATACTGTGGTAGTTATTTGCACACCAGAAAATGTAAAAACCTTTTTAAACGGAGCAACTGAGTGCTTAAGGTCAGCCTTTTTCTGAATGTTTCTGCTGTCTAATTCTTTATTTAATGTCCTGTGTCCTAATTCATTTTACACTACTGTTCAAAAGTTTGGCGTTAGTAAAAAAGAAATTATTTTATTCAGTAAGGATGCATTAAATGGACCAAAAGTAATAGTAAGGGCATTTATAATGTCACAAAAGATTTCTATTTCAATTAAATACTGCTCTTTTGAACTTTATATTCAAAATAAATCCTGAATAAAAAAATGACACAAACATATTAAGCTGCAAAACGGTTTTCAACACTGATAATAATAAGAAATGCTTCTTGAGCACCAAATCAACATATTAGAATGGTTTCTGAAGGGTCATGTGACACTGAAGACCGAAAATTCCGCTTTGCCTTCAAAGGAATACATTTACATTTTAAAATACATTTAAATTATTATTTTTAATTGTAATCATATTACACAGTATTTAGTTTTTACTGTATTTTTGATCAAATAAATGCAGCCTTGGTGAGCAAAAGAAACTTCTTTCAAAAACATTCAAAAAATCTCAAGCATTTGAATGGTAGTGTATTGTTTCTCTGGAGTGATGTTATCTCATTTTTGTTGTTAATATACTTGTAACCGAGATGTGTAATTTATTTAATGTTGCCTGTTGGCCTTTGTGCCTGTAGCAGCATTATGCGTCATTATATTGGCATGCTATTGATTTAGTAATTGCTGTTTATTTAATGCAGTTGCTTCATGGTTCATCTCCCCTTTGCTGTCTGGTCTCATGTCTGGTCTGCTTTTCTTCATCATCAGATATTTCATTCTTAACAAGGTGAGTCATGGGTCAACTATTACACCTGTCTTTCATCACCTTACTTCAGTTATCACGCTTTGACAAATTTTGACATCGGAATGGAGGGAAAAAAAACAATTCAAAGTTCTCAGACAGGTTTGAAGTGTTTTGCGCTTTTGATTCAGACATCCAATATAAACATTCATGTGCAGCAGAGACGTTTGTCTAGTCCTTCAGTATACCAGTCCATCACCGGTCCTTGTAAGACCTCACATGTTTTCATTATATTTACTCTTTGACATGCATTCAGCTATTTCCAAGTAACGGTGCCTGTGGCTGTTTATATTGCATGACAATAGCTCATCTGTGATGGCACATCAAATGCTTTACAGTCGACAGCTATTCATCTTTTAAATGTGTGGCTGGTGTAGACTCTGCTTCAGTAAACACTTGAATATGTAAGCCTTAAAGAGTTAGGAACAGTGAAATGCATTCTTACATGTGACGACATAAGGACTGTGGTTTAAAGGAACAGTTCACCTAAAAAAAACAAACAAAAAATTATTGTTGTTATTTCTAAAACTTAGAAATGTTGCTGTAGCTGAAGTACTAAAATAAGTCAAACTAAAACTAGAAATAAAAAAAAAACTAAGCTAAACAGTAGGGATGCACAATATTATCAGACCGATATCGGAATCGGCCGATAATGGCTTTAAATGTAAATATCGGCATCGGCCCGATATTAAAAATTATGCAGATATGTCTTACCGATAAGAGGAATACATTAACTCACATGTGCTCAGGGTGTGATAGTGATTAGATCAAGTCAGCAGTGTGGCTCATTCTTGAAGCAAAGTTTTGTCTGAATGATGATTAGATTCACTGTGATAGAGTAAACAGTAATAGCATGTGCAGCGTCAGCAGCTGCATCCTCCCCCGGGTCCTAATGCCCGTTCTGTAAGGAGTTTTAATCTGTAGGGGGCGCTGTTGGCCTACTTCTAATTAAATTAAAAGTAAAATAGCCTACACAAATAATATTTAGACTGTTTCTGATTAAATAAAGCAGTAATTGATGTCATAAAATAACAAGTATATTTTGATTTATAGGTCAGAAGCTATAGCTTACATGAAAAAAAAAATCACAAACATGACACTTGTAAATTAAATAATTTTATATACTGATTTATTCATTAATGTGGAATATGTTTTATTTTTTAAACAAATCATAAGCTCAAAGATTTTCAGAATTTTTACAACTCTTTTGCTGTAGACCATTTACAAATGTTAAATCTTAAAATAAAATGTTAGCATCAACACTGCATCTTTCTGGGGGAAAAATGCAGCGATTGATATATAGTTTATTTATAGTTATTTTCAAAGCTTCAATGTACTGTCAAAAACCTTAATTATTGTTTATTTAATTCTAACAGATAAGTTCTTGTTAAAAACTAACCAAAATAAAAAATATTTTGCTTATAATTTCTGCACCGAAAAGACTTGGTGTTGTTTCCAAACAAAAGGAAATATATTGGTATCGGTCAAAATGAGTTGAAAAATATCGGCATATTGGATATCGGCAAAAATCCAATATCGTGCATCCCTACTAAACAGCAACATTAAAAATTCTAATTAAACTTAACGCATAAAATACTGGTAATATAAAAATAAATGCTCATTCAAAATATTGACAAATGCTATAGTTTTATATAAATAAAACTAAAATCTATAATCTAAACTAAATTCTATATAAAAACTAAACACTGAAATGAGCTTCGCCTAAATCGTAAGCAACCATGGATAATTTTTTAAGCTGCAAAATATTGCTTCTAACTTTACTAAAGAATTACAGTGACTTTAATGTATAAACAAACAAAAAAATTAGCAATAAATGTAACATTGGATGTGTTTTGTTCTTATTCATGGCATCTGTGTCGTATATACAGAGTTTAAGCTCTTTCTGTGATTTGTCCTTTACAGGATGACCCTGTTCCCAATGGTCTTTGCGCTTTGCCCCTCTTCTATGCATCAACCATCGGAATCAACACCTTCTCCATCATGTACACTGGAGCTCCCGGTAAGCCTGTCTTGTAGTGATAACACATTCACCCAAAAGATGTCCTTGATCAGACACGAGTTTGTTTGTTGTCACTGAATAGGCCATGTTTTCAACATTGTTTTAAGATAGCTTTCCATGTAAAATACCTTTTCTATCAAGATAAATTCACTGGATTGGTTTTAAATGTATTTATATGTGTGAGTGTGTCACGATCTTTCTTTATTGTGCAGTACTGGGCTTGGAGATGCTCCCTGTCTGGGCTGTTGCCCTCATTACTTTGGCTGGTGCTCTGGTATGTGCCGGTCTGGTCTGGATTTTTGTTTGCCCCTGGATGAGAAGGAAAATAGCAAGTATGTACTGTCCTTATCCCTCCCGCAGGCTTGTGAATTTAGGTGTTTTTAATGTCTCTGTCAGATCTCTGTGTTTGTCCTAAATTTTCTATTTCTTTTTCCAATTAGGAATCAATTATCTGAGGACAGTTGGTATTACTAATTACATTTGCAGAAATTGTGTGATCCACGTGTTTTTGACATCTGGCCATTTAGTTAGATGTTATCTTTAATCTAGCTTTGTAAAAAAAATCAAAGATGTGACTCAGCATGAGGCATCTTCACCAGCTCAGGAGGGGAAGGAACATCTGCTGCTCTGCTCTGCTGAGGCACTCTGTAATGTAAAGACTATATTTTGCTGGCTCTGGCTTGTGGGCCCATGTTGCGTTCGACTGACGCTGAGAGAAATGAAAAGCAAATAAACTGAAGCTGTTTATTTGAGAACATCACAGTTTTTTCCCCCAGATGAGTCACACGGACTTTATGCAGTTGATGTACCTTTCTCAGTGCAAGATTGGCTGCTCACATGTTTTGATTGATTACTAATAAAATTTGGGTAATATTATTACTCGTTACAATCTCACTAACGCAAGTTACAACAACATATTTTAACTCAAAATTAAGGGGTGAATTTACCAACACCGCAAAACAGCACCAGAGAAAAAATTCCGAGGGTAAAATAGTTTGTCTATTTCGTGTTGCTGGAATTAAGATGGTTGAGATGACTGCAGAGACGGATTCTACATTTGTGAGATGGACACACTCCTGTTATTTTCAGTTCATCGGAGAAAAGGATAAGAATGCATAGTCGGGTGCAATACCAAACTCTCAACATGGAGACACCAAACTCTCAACATGGAGAAATAGCACGAGTAAAACCTGGAAACACCTGGATTGGTGCCACTAACACTAAGCTATCGGAGAGAGCTGCGGGTCGGAGAAGTGAAAAGGGCGGCGGACGAGCGCAGACAAGCAACAAAAATTAAGTTGAACTAAAAATAACTAAATCTGTTTTTATTAAATCATAGTGTATATTTAAAATGAATGAATATGCAAAATATTTGACTTAAATAGCCTAATTAACAGATTAACAAAACAAAAGGAAAAGACAGAGATATGCTGCTGAGTTTGGTTCATAGGCTATTTGTGTGGCGCGGCGCTCTACGAAAGTCCATGGAAAGGAAACCGAGATGACAGAAATAAAAGTAAACGCATTGCAGTTTCGAATGATCTGTATGACCAAAAATGACGGAGTATTTTTTTTGTTGTTTGTTTCCGCTGTTCGATCGCGCCGGCGCCTTATGCACAAACATACAGCATTGCAAACATTGCAGCCTGTTCATTATCAGAATAAAATAGCCAACCAAACATATAGATACACTGGTTAATTTAAATAGTGCATACTGCGTACAATCCGTTCCGTTCATCCTGAGCTCGGGCCAAACACACATTTGCTCATGTGACGAGGATGTTTTTTAAGCGCTTTAAGTAACTTAAGCCTGGTTTACATAATAAATAATAGTTTAGCATTCAAATACATCGCAAAAATGGACACATTTAATGCTGATGAAATGATTTTGCTTTATTTACTGGTGTTATTTATTATTATTATTATTATGAATGTAATAATGCCGTTTGTGCTTATCTGTGTTTAACCTAAACTACAACGTAACATTAATGTAGACCTACATACCGGTATTTAAGTATGATTTTATAATTTTATGCTATATAGACCTACCACATTACCCTCCACTGGGTGTAGAATGAGCAGCAATAAACTACATTTTGGCATTTTATAATACTAATGTGGATATTTTGGTGAAAGTAACTCAAAAGTAGTGTAACGCATTACAATTCAGAGACAGTAATATTGTAAAGTGACTAATTACTTTCAAAAGACAGTAACTAGTAATATATAATGTATTACATTTTGGAAGTAACTTGCCCAACACTGTTCATGGATGAGCTAATGATTTGTTAACATAGTAGAATGAAGCAGGGTGAGGCTGAAAGCCGTCGAATGCGAAATGAGGCCACTGAACGAGCGCAACACACGGCTCGAAAGCAGCGGAGCTTTTATTATGCCACAGTCGACCGTTTCCTCTCCTTCTGGTCGTGCGTATGTGGGAAAAAAAAGCAGCTCTGTTTTATCATACTAGATACATTTGAAAGTTCTGTTATAATGCTACTCTGTGCGGTCGTCACCGGCCTATTAAAACGCACAGCATATTAAAGCATCTTTGGTGTTTTCATGTTTTCTATAAAACAAAACCGGAAATCGAGGGTGACCTCATTGGCAGGTGACACAATGACACTATAGACACGGTCCGTGTCACTAGTTAAAATTGCTTATTTCTCTTGATTTAAACATTCTTCGAAACATTTGGGATAATGAAAGTACACAAGTCAGCAACATATATAACACTGTTCTAGTGGTTTTTGGATATTTTTATAAAAAAAATCTTACATATTGTGCCTTTAATGAAATGAATCTCTAATGAAATGTTGAAGCACTGCTTTCACTCACGGATCAGCGCTTTAAATTGTTGCTTGCTTTATTAAATTTGTTTTCAGATCAAGGGTCTGTAGTGCAGTTGCCCATGGGAAACAGAGTTGTAGGAATCTATTTATTTATTTATTTATTTGGCTTTTAGTCTGTTGAGAAGGATCAATGTGTGAAGCTCAAAATTAGCATTAAATATGTGGGGCACTAATTTAAAGTGCTTGTTATTGTTCATTATCACTGCTCGATTTAAAAAGGCCAGTTGTAATCATACTGATATCACAGTTTTTCATGCATGGAATTATCCATGTTTATTAGTGATTATGTTTGCTTGATTATATTATTCTCACTGTAATATTGTTAATGCTGCTTTTAATTTTCAGCTTTTCACCAAGCTTGCCGCCTTCCCCTCGTCTGCTCTGCAAATAACATTTATGTTGATTAGGGATGCACTGATGATACTATTCTGGCTGATACCAATAAGTGAAAATTCTATATAATTTTGTGATATAGAATCAAAAGTGATTTCTATATCACACAAAACTTGTTCTTTTTACAACTTTCTATTCATCAAAGAATCCTGAAAATTGCAATCCCAGTCTCCACCAAAATAATAAGAACTGTTTTCAACAAAATTATAAAATATAAGAAATGTTTCATGAGCACCAAATCAACATATTAGAATGTTTTCTGAAGAATGGAGTAATAATGCTGACTGTACAGCTTTGCATCACAGTAATACATTAAATTTTTACAATATATTCAAATAGAAAATGGTTATTTTAAACTGCAATATTTCACAATATAATTATTTTTACTGTATTTGTAATGAAATAAATTCAGCCTTGGTGAGCATTAAATACTTTTTTTTTTTAAAGCATTAAAAAAATCTTGCTCAAAAGACCACACATTTTTGAACTATAGTGTAAATTTAAAATTAAACACTAAAAACTAAAATCAGATTGAAGTGTATTAAAGTGTATTGTATCAAAGTGAATTTAATACATTTAATGATAACGTTATAATGTCCGATATTAAAACTGTATATTGGCTAAAGATAACATTTAAACATGTTATTACGTTATTATTGTTTTTAAAGATTAACTTTAAGAGACCGTTAGATTAATGCAATGCTAAATGTAAAAATAATGGAACTAAGATGATGCACAATTAAATATCCAATATGGACTGATATGATAAAAAAATTAAATATTGGCCAAAAACCAATAGAATGCTGATATATCATGCATCCCTATGATTGATACCTAATATATGACTTTATATTTAATGGTTTCCTGGCTTTTTTCCCAAAACAGGTCGGCTGAAGAAAGAGCATGCTCTCTCCCGAATCTCTGATGAGAGTTTGGATAAAATCCCGGAGGAGGAAGAGGAAGCCCCCGTGTTTAAAGAGCTTCCAGGTGCGAAAAGCAGCAACGATGCTGTGCTGCCCCTGACAGAGGAGTCCACAGGAGAGCTGAACAGCCTGGCTAATGGAGGCACCGTCCTGCCCAACGGCAGAGTGTATGGTACGTTAAAGGACTTATCTTGTTTTTAATGGGTACTATCTGACCAAAATGTGTTTTTAAAAAAAAAAAATAATAATTTTCTGTCAGGTCGCACCAACTCCATGACCAACGGGTGCCTCAAGTCACCCGTGTCCAATGGGGGCTTCAGCTTTGACGGACACATGCGCAGCGATGGCCAGGTCTATCACACGGTTCATAAGGACTCTGGTCTCTACAAGGACCTCCTTCACAAGATCCACCTGGGCCGCCTGGAGGACGAGCGCAGTGGCTCACGTCCCGACAACAACTACCGTCACCTCCGCCGCAACAACAGCTATACATGTTACACAGCAGCCATCTGCGGCATGCCGGTGCAGCCCCTGATGCGGTCGGAATCCAGCGCCCCTCCTCCAGAAGACAGTGAGAAGCTAGTGGGCGACACCGTCTTCTATTCGAAGAAGCGATTGCGTTACGACAGCTATTCCAGCTACTGTAACGCGGTTGCAGAGGCTGAGATTGAAGCGGAGGAAGGTGACGTGGATGTGAAGTTGGCAGCAGATAAAAGGGAGCCACGGGCCCCAGCTGAAGGGGTGCTGGAGGACTGTGTTGATGAGGACAAGGAGGAGAAGGACAAGCCTCAAGTCTTCCTGCTCTTCCACTTCCTGCAAATCCTGACCGCCTGTTTCGGATCGTTTGCGCATGGGGGGAATGATGTCAGGTATGCCATTTGATGTCTGTTTCAAAACCAAGATTAATAAATTTGTATGTGCAAGTTTTTAAGTATGCTTTTGAGAAACTTTGGTAGGTTCTTTTTTAATATTTTTACTTTTTAGTGTGACTAGTGCATTCAGAATAAGACCTACTGTACTATCTGCACCATTTCTTCACATTCCACAGCATTAGTGTGCCCTGAAAACAAGCCCTCAGTTCAGTGCCACAGATCTGGTTCATGACTCAGGAGATGATTTGGCTCATACCCAGACTGTTAAGACCCAAGTGAGACGTGGCCATTAGTTTGGGCTAACTTCAGCTGCTTAATGCTTTGACATTTCAAATCTTTCAATTGGTTTTGTTGGTGACATAATTTGATTATTGTGTTTCTATTTAGTGTGAAGAGTAAACAAAATTCAAACAAAGTTCTCCCTCAGAAAAAAAAGGGCTAAAGCTCTCACTGGGGCAGTACCTTTTCGAAAGGTACAAAATATAGACCATATGTACCAATATGTCCTTATATGCACCCTTTAGGGGTAAATAAGGTACAAACACGTGCCTTTTAAAAGGGTACTGCAACCAGTGACAACTTTTGTACTGTTTTTTTTACTGAGAGCATGTGACCTCTCCACTGTCAAATCAATAGCAGCACAAAATTAAATAATAATTATTTCATAAATGTATTATTAATAAATATGTTATTAATATTTAATAATAATAATATTTCTTTGTTCATTCAAATTATTTTTCCATTTTAGTTTTGGGGGCAAATTAATTTAGGGCAGATTCATTCTCTGGTTTATACGCTCAAAAGTTTGGGGTCCATAAGATTTTTTTTTTGTAAATAAAGAAATTAATGCTTTTATTAAAAAAATTGCAATACATTTATCAAAAGTTACAGTAAAGACAATAATGTTACAAAAGATTTCCATTTTAAATAAATGCTGTTCTTTTGAACTTTCTATTTATCAAAAAATCCTGAAAAAAAAAAAGATTTTCACACAAATATTAAAGTGCAAAACTGTTTATAAAATGATTACTAAATACTGATATACTGAAATGTAACTGGACACAAATCCAAACCAAAATCAAACATTTTAAATGAGCCTTTGAAATAAAAAAGCAAATTATTTTAGTGTAATAATCTGGTTTTGTTGATGTCTAAGCTCCAAAATGTAATATATAAAAAAAAAAAATTTGAATTTAGAAATTATTTTAATAGTGAATTAGTGTTTCTTCACGTGAATATCATCACACACAGACTTTTAAGTGTGAACATGACTTTCGTGAGTATCAAATCAGCATATTAGACCAATTTCTGAAGGATCGTGTGACACTCAAGACAGGAGTAATGATGCTGAAAATTCAGCTTTGCCATCACGGGAAGTTATCTTTTCATAATCATGATACATTTTGGGGCTGAGTTCAGCTAATATGTTGATTTAAAGACCACATGGCTTCATGTCACTTCCCCTGTGAACATGCTTGTTTTTTCCTTTTCTGCAGTAATGCAATTGGCCCTTTGGTGGCCCTGTGGATGATTTACGAACAGGGTGGGGTGATGCAGGATGCGGCCACACCAATGTGGCTGCTGTTCTATGGCGGCATTGGAATCTGTACTGGACTGTGGGTTTGGGGTCGACGTGTCATTCAAACGATGGGCAAAGACCTCACTCCCATCACCCCCTCCAGGTGAGATCAGCCTTTTGGCAGAGAGCATGATGTTTGTGCATGATAATTGATGCATGTGCTCCTGTTGCATGCAGATGTGATGATTTCTTATCCACTGTAAGAAATCTTCTTAAGCCCAATGCACACTGTACGATTTTGCCATTAATTTTGAAATTTTACCTAAGGTCTCACTGGCATCATACCGTTCAATCTAACAAGCAGCAATCAAAAAGAACAGAAAAATTGCACAGTGTACAGTGAGCTTAATTTAAGTGGCCTCTTACAGGAAACCCATGACAAAAGCACACTATTTTTCCATGTTTTATTTATTTCTGACAATACAAAAGGTGTCTTTCTTTTCCTGTAGCAAGTGGAAAATTGTTGAAGTGGGGGACCGGTTTTTGGTGTAAAACGCTGACAGAACTAAAACCTTCCTCTTGGTCCTAAACCAGTGCTGAAGGTGTAATCGTAGACTACAGAAACGGAGCATGTGCTTTGGCAGCAGGGACACAATAGTTTATCTGATATTGAAATCCTGCTAGATTAGTTCTGTTTATCGGCTTTTCTCCTCTCCCGTTTGAGTATTTGCCCTCAATCCCTCTTTGTGTTACCACCACAAATTGAGTTAAATATCACCGTAGAATGATCTTAATTTAAATTTGTGTTTAATTTAAACACACTTTAGAATAAAGTTCAAATAAAGAGACTGGTCACTGTTTTGCACCCACCGCTCAGAACTGCCTGAGTTTGCTAAATTTAGCAAGACACTTGTGCACAGCCTCAGCGACCTTGCTTTCTCTTAGTAACGAGACAAACTGTCAAAAACAAATGAGCTTGAGTTGATAATCAGAACAAAGGCTTTCCACCCCTATAAAAAGATCTCTTGTCATTGTTCTGAGAAAGCCAACAGCAGATCATTTTTCTAGAGATGCTTGTTAGGAAGTCATGATTACTAAATACTGATATTCTGAAATGTAACTGGACACAAATCCAAACCAAAATCTAAATTTTTTTAAATGAACCTAAAATTATTTTAGTGTAATAATCTGTTTCTGTTGATCCAAAAATCGATCCAAAATTGTATATATTAAAGGTTGATGTTTAATGTTTTACACAGACTTTTAAGTGTGAACATCACTTTAAAAAATTTTTTTTTTTTTTACTGTCAATAATTTATTCATCATCACTTAAACTTTCACTGGATTCAATTAAACTTGGATCATTTCATGGCACAGTTTTTCCCCCACATAAAGTATCTGTCATTAGATGATAAAGTAACAGATGTAACAGAAAAAGTTACTGAAAGTTTACTCCAAAAAAATCTTATTGGCTTACAACTACCCAGAACAATGTAGTATAATGGTGAGTTTTGCCAATTTTTATCAGAAAATGTAAAATTATAGTAATGGTGTATTTAAAAAAAAAAACTCATCAAACATTAACAAAAAAGAAAATTCATGGAAAGTTAATGTGATTATTGTTAATTTTTATTATTATTTTAAATATTTTCTAAAGACAGAAACTTTCAACAAGATTGAACAAAAAAGCAAATAATTATGATTTGAAAATGATTTTGATTTGCTGGAACAATTAGCATTTTCTCAATGTGTGTGTGACTGAACGATTTCGCACTGCAGGTCTCTACAATCCTGCATGACAGTCAGTCTATACTGAGTGAGTGTGCATCAGGTGGCCATGCTCCCTGTCTCATGCCCTCACGTAGCGCACAGAAATAACAATCGATGTGCCCTCAGTATCTGTCAGCTTGCTCATTGGCTTTGATGTTTGTTGACAGGAAGGAGTTTTTTTTTTTTTTATGGGGACAATGTAAGGGAATAGCGAACACCATGCAGTATACCTTTTTTTCAAAACTCTTGCTGTGTAGATTGGTTTGCATGATTTGATGGAAGGTTTGTCTGCTTGTTTGTGCACAGTGCATATCTTCCTCACATGTTCATGCTGTCTGTGTGTGTTTTAAGAGGCCACAGGAGTTTATCGGCACAAGCGTAATCACCACAGAACTGCCGCTGTTTCCACCTGCATGCATGCACACGTGTCTACCCTGTGATGCACACTCACTCACACGTTCATACTTAATAGGCAAAAACTCACAGAAAACCTGTCAACCTTGTTTTCTTGTTACTTCACCTTCATCTCCTTGTGGACTTTTTGCATGCCTGTTAAAATGTTTCCACAACTCCAGACCTGCGTGCTGCACGGGCACCAGCCTCTCTCAACGGCATGCATTGCAATTATTGGTTGAACTGCAGGTGTGACTGTATAAAGTTGTGTTTTGTTGCCCTCCCCCCGCAGTGGATTCACTATTGAGCTGGCCTCAGCGATCACTGTTGTTTTGGCGTCCAATATCGGACTTCCAATCAGTACGACACACTGCAAGGTAAAGATCGGGTCAGAGCCCAGCTGGCCCCCTTAGGTTATTGTGTGCACGCCACCAGAGAGAAGAGGGAGCCGTCTTGTTTTTCCAGGGAATGAGAGGTGCCCACATCAGCTTTCAGCACATGATGCTATTTGTTATTGATAAATAATGACATGGATGCACAACCACTTGACACTTTACACAAATAGGGTGCTGTCCAATCACAATAAACTGACCAAATCTCATGTTCTACTCTATTGTTTCACATTGAGTCAAATGTCTGACCCGTCTCGCTGGTCTCGTCCTCGCTAGACCTCAAATGTAATCAACTATTAAACTCATAAAATCAAATGATATAATTTTAGAATTATAAATAATTGTAGAGAAATGCTTAGTTAGTGTTTTGTCTGACACAATATTTTCCTAATTAATGCTGTACAGTTGCTTTGACACGATCTGTATTGTGTCAAAGCGCTATATAGATAAAGGTGACTTGACTTGACTTATGTTTAGACAAGTAAATTACTAGTTGTCAATAAATAAGTTGTCCAGCTCAACCATTTAATCTAGTTACCAAAGTTAAGGTATAAGAATTAAGTTGCAAGTAGAATTTTTATAGGAAATATAAGTTTATGAATAACCACTGTTGTTATTTTGCTAAAGTAAAAAAAAAAAAAATTTTTGTTAATTGAAATAAAATATAAGTATTAGATGAAAAACGTATAAATGAGAAATGTTGCATTAGCAAATAACTGAAAATGTTTAAATTGAAATACTTAACTTATTGAAACTAAAACTGAAATAAAAATCAAAGCTAAATATAAAAAAAAAACTAATAAAAATGACAAAAGCACTTAACAAAATGACTGAAACTAAAAATAAAATAAACTCGACATATGAATAAAAGCCAATTCAAAATATTAACAAATAAAGCTATTAATAAATAACACTAAAACATTAAAACAATCAGAAATAATACTAAAATAGCACTGTTACTACTACTAACAAAAATATAGTACCAAATTAACTAGACTACTAGACTAACACTATTATTTTGAAATGTTATTTTTGTATTTAATGAATTTAAATACATAATTATTACATAAATATTAATTTTATTAAGCAAATTATTAATTTATATTTTTAGAAAATAAGGAAATCACATAAATCAGGTTTATGACTGCATTATGTTGGACATAATTTAGACAAGATTACCAGTATTTTAGTAACAGAAAAATCCTCATATAATAAATAGAAAATAAAGCATATCATATAATATGTTGTTTGAAGTGCATGAGCAACATTTTCTGAACGATAAGCACTCTAAATATAAAAAAAAACTAATAAAAATGACAAAAGCACTTAACAAAATGACTGAAACTAAAAATAAAATAAACTCGACATATGAATAAAAGCCAATTCAAAATATTAATAAATAACACTAAAACATTAAAACAATCAGAAATAATACTAAAATAGCACTGTTACTACTACTAACAAAAATATAGTACCAAATTAACTAGACTAATAGGACTTCACTATTATTTTGAAATGTTATTTTTGTATTTAATGAATTTAAATACATAATTATTACATAAATATTAATTTTATTAAGCAAATTATTAATTTATATTTTTAGAAAATAAGGAAATCACATAAATCAGGTTTATGACTGCATTATGTTGGACATAATTTAGACAAGATTACCAGTATTTTAGTAACAGAAAAATCCTCATATAATAAATAGAAAATAAAGCATATCATATAATATGTTGTTTGAAGTGCATGAGCAACATTTTCTGAACGATAAGCACTTATTTATGCATTTTTTTTAATTGATAATGACATTTGATGTATTTATTTTTAATCAAGATTATACTCTGGCAGGCATCCTGGATTCTCTGATCTCAGCCATCCAGTTACTGATGTCATGGGCTCGGTCACTGTTTCTGATGCTTATAAAGCAACTGTACTGCACACTGATGTCAATTCTGGGACAATGAACGCTCTCATCAAGGCTGAGACAGCTCTCTCAAACCCTTTAGAAATGAAGACGAGCGCTCCCTCCTCTTCTCTCAGGCCTTGGTGCATACAGGATGAAATAACACTCTTCTCTTCACAGATCTGTGTTTAAGTGATGCTTCACTGCATCATCTCTTTGTCCCCCTCCTCATCTCTCTCATGGCATGTTGCTGTGTATTTGTCTGCATTTGCTCGGGCCACTGGTGTCTTGCTCCATGCTATGTGTGTCTCTTATGTTTTATCTGTTGTGTTTGTCTTTGTCTTGTCATTTGTCTTTTCACAGTGGATTTTGCATTGAAGTAATGAGTGCTCTAACAGTGCTCGTTGCCTCAAATGTGGGCATTCCTATAAGCTCCACCCACTGCAAGGTATTGGTATAGTAGGGAAGCTTTGGTAGTGCTAAACTCCACCCCATAGCTTCTCTAGTGTAATCATCGAACAGCCAATCAAAGCGCTCACCTCTGCAAACATGTAACTCCATGATTGCAGTTGCGATTCGCCTATTTGATTCATTCTTTTTTCATCTGCTTAGTAGTTTTAAAGATAATGCATTAATCGAAGACAGTGTTTTTAAAAGGTACTGGGTAGTGCATACATTGTAGTCTAGATGCTAAACATGTCAACCAAACCATGCCAACTGCAGTGATTCCATTAAAACGTAGGTAATTTCTCCTCTTTAGCATAGGTCAACAGCCTGAACTGGTTACATTAGGCTAATACTTGACAGAAATGAGTCCAGCAATCTCACCTGTAATCAGAAATCAATACAAAACCCTGTTTACATTTTGTCGCTACACATTCCTAGAGCACAAATCAGCTGACCTCTATTTATTCTCTATTTCCTTGTGTGTGCTTTATAATGTTTTTGTAGGGGTTTGGGGATTCTTTGTGATACAAGGGCAGTCAAGAGCTTTAAGCATGTTTGGCTTTAGACTGATACCTCATTCCACTCCATGACCTCTATTCAGATTCTTAAACTTCTTGTAAAATCTTTGTAGTGCTTTAAAACCTGGTTTGAGGCTAAAGATAGAGGGCTTGAGGTTCAGTTTGCGTTAGGGCTGTCAAGTTAACATGGTAATTTGGTGTGATAAAGAATAAAGGCCTGTTTACACCAAGGACAATAACTATAAATATATAGCTCTAAAAATCGTTCTCAATATTAAAGAATAGTGCACCACACCACAACTATAATGATAAAGGCACAGCGAAATGATTTAATTGGAATCACTTTCAGAACGATTTTTCCAGCTGATGAACGATAAAAACATTGACACCAAATTTATGTTTACACTACCGCTCAAAAGTTTGGGATCAATAAGATCAATATTTTTTAAAGAAGTCTCTTAAGCTCATCAAGGTTGCATTTATTTGATCGAAAATACAGAAACAAAAACAGTAATCTTGCAAAATGTTATTAAAATATAAAATAATGGTTTCTATTTTAATATCCTTTAAAATATAATTTATTTCTGTGATGCAAAGCTGAATTTCCATCAGCCATTACTCCAGTCTTCAGTGTCACAGAAATCATTCTAATATGCTGATTTATTATTAGAATTATCAATGTTGGCAACAGTTGTGCTGCCAAATATTTTTTTTGGAAACTGCAATACTTTTTCAGGATTCTTTGATGAATAAAAAGTTAAAAAGAACAGCATTTTTTCAAAATATAAATCTTTTCTAACAATATAAATCTTTGCTATCACTTCTTATCAATTTAACACATCCTTGCTGAATAAAAGTTTTAATTTAATTCAAAAAAAGAAAGAATTAAAATTTACTGACCCCAAACTTTTGAACGGTAGTGTATATTGTTAGAAAAGATTTCTATTTTAAATAAATGCTCTTCTTTTTAACTTTTTATTCATCAAAGAATCCTGAAAAAAAGTATCATGGGTTCCAAAAAAATATTAAGCAGCACAACAGTTTCAACACTGATAATAAATCAGCATATTAGAATGATTTCTGAAGGAGCATGTGACACTGAAGACTGGAGTAATGGCTGATGGAAATTCTGGGAGATATATATATATATACTCAACAAGTAGCTTTAAATACTATTATTCATTTTATATTTTCAGTTTTCATTTTAGTTTTAGGTTAAGTTTCAGTAATCTTATGTGCTTTTGTCATTTTTTTTTTAACCTTTTTTGGCTGTATTTTTATTTTAGGTTTAGTTTTTAGTAATTTAAACGCTTTTTTAAGTTTAGGTTTTTCTAATCTAATGTTTATATTTTATTTTTGCTTTATTTCAATAATAAAAAATATTTTTAATAGTTTTAGTTTTAACAATAACACTGTTACTGACTGACAGTTCAGTTTAGGCTCATTTTTAACCGTTACCCAATATGGGGTTAAACAATTTTTTTCTGTTTTTTTTTTTAAGTTTTATTTTTAATAATGTTGAATTAATGTTATTTTCCCCTATCAAAATATAGAAAGCACACAAATCAGCAAATGTTGGAAAACAGGGTTGCATTCAGGGCTGCTATAATAATGTAATGCGCTTGAGTTGTCTTTAATTGGGGGCTTTTCTGGGTAAATATCAATTTGATTAATTAATCTGCATATCGGTGATAATTCATTCATCATTTTTAATCAATTGACAGCCCTAGTTATCAGCATTACTACTGTGAGCATGTCATGTCTTTGTGTCACAGCATCCAAAATATGAATTAGTAGGCCGTTAATGTTCAGATGAGCTTTGTCCAGTAAAGCCACTTATATTATTATGAAATGGGAACAAAGACATTGCAGCAATGGAGGAGTCGCGTCTTCATCAGGTTTATTTTGATTAGATCTTGTTTGCCAAACAAATTCACAGAAAGGTCATAAATCTTGTCTTGATTTCATGGATTAGTCACATGGCTCACAGGTCAAGCATCTTGCATGATGTTTGAGTAGATCAAGGGGTTTAAATCATGGGAGAATTAAAGGCCTGAAGTCTTTTATTCTCTGTTGTTGACTTTGGGTTGGCTTTTGCTCCTAATCTTATGTGCTTTTGTCATTTTTTTTTACCTTTTTTGGCTGTATTTTTATTTTAGGTTTAGTTTTTAGTAATTTAAACTCTTTTTTAAGTTTAGGTTTTTCTAATCTAATGTTTACATTTTATTTTTGCTTTATTTCAATAATAGTTTTAGTTTTAACAATAACACTGTTACTGACTGACAGTTCAGTTTAGGCTCATTTTTAACCGTTACCCAATATGGGGTTAAACAATTTTTTTCAGTTTTTTTTTTAAGTTTTATTTTTAATAATGTTGAATTAATGTTATTTTCCCCTATCAAAATATAGAAAGCACACAAATCAGCAAATGTTGGAAAACAGGGTTGCATTCAGGGCTGCTATAATAATGTAATGCGCTTGAGTTGTCTTTAATTGGGGGCTTTTCTGGGTAAATATCAATTTGATTAATTAATCTGCATATCAGTGATAATTCATTCATCATTTTTAATCAATTGACAGCCCTAGTTATCAGCATTACTACTGTGAGCATGTCATGTCTTTGTGTCACAGCATCCAAAATATGAATTAGTAGGCCGTTAATGTTCAGATGAGCTTTGTCCAGTAAAGCCACTTATATTATTATGAAATGGGAACAAAGACATTGCAGCAATGGAGGAGTCGCGTCTTCATCAGGTTTATTTTGATTAGATCTTGTTTGCCAAACAAATTCACAGAAAGGTCATAAATCTTGTCTTGATTTCATGGATTAGTCACATGGCTCACAGGTCAAGCATCTTGCATGATGTTTGAGTAGATCAAGGGGTTTAAATCATGGGAGAATTAAAGGCCTGAAGTCTTTTATTCTCTGTTGTTGACTTTGGGTTGGCTTTTGCTCCAGATTTAGCCCCCTGTGACGGAGGCTTCGGTTGCACTGACCATATAAGAAGAGCCAGATCGCTCTTGTATCTAGCAAACACCTGTCACCATAACCCCTGAGTCACACAGCATGTATGGAAATGTTACTCCTCCTGCTGCCCTGTGTTAGGCAGGACATGACATGACTTTGCCTTTCAAGCAAAAGGAGAAAATTAGGTAAAGAACGCTTGATCTCAAACCTTGCTGTACTTTGTGTTCTCTTAACTAACCCCTACCTGCACAATTAATCAAATTCATGTATTTTGTTATTTCAAAAGAGATATTATGCTCATGACCCTATGAAATCAAAATTTGGATCAACCCATGTCTGTTTGCGTTGAAGCCATGTAGATTTGAGTTGGGTTTGCCCACATTTTTGTTTAGTAAAATGCTATCTATAATGAATAATTGGGTGATATATTAAATATGTTGAGTATATTCCCTACATTTTTGTGGTGGTGATTTATCAAATTAAGCAACATGGTGAATATTGCAATGATTTAAGCATTATTGGAATAGTCCAGGGGTCTCCAACATTTTTAACACCACGGACCGGTTATATTTTGAAAATATTCTCGTGGACCGGTTGGAGTGGGGTGGGGTTTATATATATATATATATATATATTATATATATATATATAACATTTTTGTGTTTCAACGGATCATATTGTAGTTTTTGAGTCACAGATCGGATGATTTTTCAGATAAGCACAGAGAATGAGAATGCCGGGAAGGGTTTTTAGACGGTGTTATATGTATGTATCTCAAACGCAAAAAGACATGAAAGAGGAATGAACTCTGTATTTGCACGCTGTCTGAAACACGTTTCTGTGTGTGTGCGCGCTTCTGGTGTGTGAGGCTGCTGTGCACACCGAAAACAGCGCGTGAGGAACGAATCGAGTTCTCCTTCGCTTCTTCTTATGGTTTAAAATCGCTTTAACGTGTAGAATGCCAAATTAATCTGCGAATCACACGCGTGCCGAACTGTGGGGCCTGGTCCATACGTATCACGGATCAACTGCGATCCATTTAACCCCTAATACAGGTGCATCTCAATAAATTAGAATGTCGTGGAAAAGTTCAGTTATTTCAGTAATTCAACTCAAATTGTGAAACTCGTGTATTAAATAAATTCAATGCAGACTGAACTAGACTGAAGTAGTTTAAGTCTTTGGTTCTTTTAATTGTGTTGATAATAATTAGAACAATCAATAACACGCGATAAATAGAGTGTCATACACATTTTTCCCAGAACGTTCTTGCGACCCAGTAGCAACACTTCCACTGCCCGGTACTGGGTTGAGACCTCTGATTTATAGTAAATAACCAAATATTATTTAGATTAGATTTAGATTTCATCCAGCGCTAATAGAAATATCATATCAGTCATACCACCTACTAATATCAAATAGCCAGGTCTGTGCCTTCAACTAAAGGCTATTGACCTTATTAAAAAAATGTGGCAGTGTATCTTACTGTTTCAACAGAAGAGTGAAGCAGGACAGAAACATATGCTTGTGATTTCATGGAATCTTTAAAAATCCTTTATAGAAATAACAAAATACATTCCATAAAGATTGTATGACCTAGTTCCACCCTCAAAAATGAAATCCACATTTTGCTGTTTTCATATTTCTGTAACGTGCTACTGCTGATTTTGCCTTTGCTGTGGGTGCAGGTGGGCTCAGTGGTGGCGGTGGGCTGGATCCGCTCCAAGAAGGCTGTGGACTGGCGTCTCTTCCGGAACATCTTCCTGGCCTGGTTTGTGACCGTCCCTATAGCAGGCCTCTTCAGCGCTGCTGTCATGGCCCTGTTTGTCTACGGCATACTGCCTTACGTTTGAGATGGAAAATGGGGAAGAGAGGGAGGTATAGGAAAGTAATGATGAAAAAATAAAACCCAGACACAGACAGAAAAAGTGGACAGCCAGAGGGTGGGGGGAGTCTTCAAATGCTGCCTGGAAAAGCATCCAGAATCATTTGACTTAAATATCCTTAATCTTGTCAAGAGTATTTATTTCCGTTTTGATTTTCTATTGTTTTGTTGAAATGTTACCATAAACCATAAGATCTTTGACTCATGATTTCAAATGGTAAATTTTCAAAGTTCCAAAAAATAACTCTTGTACATTTGTGGTCCTACATGTCCAAGGGAGTAAACAGATGGAGAACTGGACACATATGCACATACAAATACTCATACAATTGTCAATATCGTTAAAAAAAATATCAGTACATGATGAATGGGACTAGAAAATTGGTTTTATGGCACAATGTTATGGCTACTAACTTCTCTTGGGCCTCTAAATGTAATGTTTTAATATGCATCATGTGTGGTGTGTTGTAATCGCACTTTTATTCCCATTCACTGAAACATCAAACTTCTACGTAAATGACACTGAGATCAGCACCCTGCTGTTCAAAACCTACGTTAGCTGCATTGCTAAAATCATACCTCAGTCAACACTCTATGCCACATAAAAGACAAGTGACAAAACTCATAATATATGAAACATTGAAATAAGATGAATCATTTTTGTAGTGGTTAATGTGTATGAATTCCCTGTTCTTTTATTGTTGTATTTATTTTTAGATATGTTACCATTCATACCTTTGTAAAAACACGAGGTGTGAAGGCAAAATCATATTTGGAACCATGTATGCTACTATCATTTCTACTGTGTATATATTCAGCTATGGATTTTAGATTTTTAGTTATTCGAGGTCTTATATTGTTACATTTAAGGAAACTTTAGACCAGGTTTGTAGTTGCATGAAACATATGCTTTCTAAGCATATGAAAAATATCAAATATTAAAAAATTATTTTACTATGACAAGACACTACATCCATAATTCTGTCATCATGAGTATATCAAAAATCTACTTTTTCTTCCATTGCCTACCCTAAAAGATCCTCATATCAGTGAAAAATAAATCATGCACCATCATTTAAAGATATAAAAATATGAGGAGCAGGTTAGGATCATAAAGGAGGCTCATCTGAAGTATTACATTTTAAACTTTCTGTAATTCACCTTTTGTATACATATCAATAGGTGATTTTTTTTCTCTCTTTTTGGAAGATTAATAGCCAAACATTGCCATACTCTTTGACAGTGTTTGTAATAACAATCTAAACAATATCCAAACAAAAGTAATCAGTTGACTCTGTATTGTGAATACAGGATGCTAGTAGTTCAGTCTAGCAATAGTATATAATGTTCTTGGAGCGCAACGGATGATGCCAATATAAATACCTGTATGTGCCAGGACGGCCAAAATCACTCACAGTGAACCCATAAAACCAACACAAACATAGATTTACCCACTTCATATACAGTATAAAAGAGGTATCGAGAGGCAGTGTTAGACACCGGGCCTTTCGTGTCATATCAGCATTCAGTACTGATATCACAGAGGTTTATCAGAAGAGGAATTTGTTTAACATCAGGTCAGGATGTGATTCAGTGGCACAAATGTGTCATTTAAGGAAAGGTCAATATGTAACAACCTATTTGTGGCCCTGACCCCACAAGAAACCAAAAAGTCTCGTGATTTCAATCCAAAAATGGCCAGGCTCACATCAAATGACCATGTGATATCAGGTGAACTGGGCTTAGATGTTTGTCAGACACCATTGTAATCTGCCTCGGGATAGTCACCAGATTTGGAAACTGTACAAATGTGTGGCTTTGAACCAATGCAAAGTGTTGCTCTTTCTTTCTTTCTTTTCTTTTTTGTGTGTGTGTGTGTGTGTGTGTGTGTATTACTTTTGTTTTTATTTTTCATTAAGAACAAAGCTATGCTTATATGGCCATTTGCCTTGTAATGTTGTGCTTTACTGTTTGTTGGATACAGTAACTTCAGTACTGTGGTGTTTACATTGTAATCATATTGTAGAATAACTCATTGCAGTGGCCTAAAAATGCCAATCAACTAACTATTAATCACAAATTAAATATGAAATAACCAGGCATAGTGCAAAGGTGTTTCATGTCATTTTGTGTTTTAGCAGTGTGAATCATAATGATCCTGTTACATCACACTGCTATATGTAGTACACAACTTTACATGGTGGATATGATTCAAAAAATAATTAAAGAAATTAATAGATATAAATTTCATTAAACTATATTTTTCTACATATATAGGTGGTGACTTCTCACATGGAGAGTAAACTGGGCTAAAAGTAAAAAGTAAAAGTACCAGTAACTTTAATAAGAAAATTCAGTGCTGAATACCACTGAACAATTTCTTAAAGATGGTTATATCGCAAAAGAGTCTAAAAAGTTCAGGCAGGGGATCGTAACGTGGATTGGTTCCATACATCCATTGTTTTTCTTGCCCAGGGACGTCTCTCCCTTGTGTGAGAGTGAGTGGTTGTGAGTTGTTAAAATTTTAACAGTTTTTCATGATTACTTTTTGAAAAGTAAGGCTGAGTAACTTTGTAATTTTGTTTCCCTGAAATGCAATATTGAGCTGCCAGAATGTGGTCAATCGGACCTCCACCAGCAGTGGCGATACACCGTTTAGAGTTTAGGGCACAGCAAGATCCAGTAAAACTTTTTACTAACCTGTATCCAATATTTTGCATCAACCTGGCAATATAAATCTGTCTTTCTGCTATGACTTGGTTTGTTTTATAACGGCACGCCAGCGAAATCTTCCACATGCGCAGTAAAAAAGAAATGCCAAAAAACATTCTTTACACAAGTATGCAAACGCAGATGCTTGGCGCTCGACCAGCACGCATACGCTCTTGTAAATTTGATCTCACGCTAACAAACCTCAGTACTCAGTGATCGAATTGAAATTTTTAATGTATCTGACATTAAACTTAAAGGGATAGTTCACCTTCAGTTGCTGGTCCCCATTGACTTACATAGTATGGAGATAAAAAAAAATCATAACACTATGCAAGTCAATTGGGACCAGCAACTGAAGGTGAACTATCCATTTAATGTGTTAATATTCAGGCTTGCAAGTTGCTATTAACGTTAGAATGAGATTCTCTTTTAATTGTTGCTGAGGCATGACAGTAGTTGATCCGTAAGAAATTTACGCTATTTTGCCGCTCTAGCTGAGAGTTGTGTTGAATTTCGGAATCGTGTCTGCGTTCAGGTATTTGCGTAACCGAACATGAGGCAGCAGTTTGGCCACAGAGTTAGTCTTGAGTTATATATTCAAAAAATGGCACGTTAACCACTACTACTACGCTAAACGTAGTACGCAGAAACGTCAAAGCCATTCTGTGGTTTTAGATGGACATGTTATGATTGGACAAATCCAAACAGATCACTATGTAAGACTTACCGAAATAAAATCATTAATATCCACAACCAGTGTGTTGATGAAAGGTTTCATAACTGTTCTTGGCAGCCAAGTGACATTCTCCCGTAGTGTACTAATATCATTTATTAATTTTCCATGTTCTTATCTGCACTTGAAAATAGAATGTAGCCCAATCCTCCGCTGGCCTGCTGATTGCCTGCTGTGTGTCGTCTCTATTGCCATGATGTGAATGCTATGCTGTTAACTGTCTGGCACCATCTTAAGACAGGGCTTGAATTTGAACAAAACCCCCCTTATCTGCATATGTACTGTATTGCTGTTTTCTTTCTTTTTGGAACATTTTTGTGAATGCTGTCTGCATTTTAACTAATTAAATTATGGGAATTAAAATTACAAAGAATAACGATAAAAAAAATCATAACACTATGCAAGTCAATTGGGACCAGCAACTGAAAGTGAACTATCCATTTAATGTGTTAATATTCAGGCTTGCAAGTTGCTATTAACGTTAGAATGAGATTCTCTTTTAATTGTTGCTGAGGCATGACAGTAGTTGATCCATAAGAAATTTACGCTATTTTGCCGCTCTAGCTGAGAGTTGTGTTGAATTTCGGAATCGTGTCTGCGTTCAGGTATTTGCGTAACCGAACATGAGGCTGCAGTTTGGCCACAGAGTTAGTCTTGAATTACATATTCAAAGAATGGCACGTTAACGACTACTACTACGCTAAACGTAGTACGCAGACACGTCAAAGCCATTCTGTGTTTTTAGATGGACATGTTATGATTGGACAAATCCAAACAGATCACTATGTAAAACTTACCGAAATAAAATCATTTCATAACTGTTCTTGGCAGCCTAGTGACATTCTTCCGTAGTGTACTAATATCATTTATTAATTTTCCATGTTCTTATCTGCACTTGAAAATAGAATGTAGCCCAATCCTCCGCTGGCCTGCTGATTGCCTGCTGTGTGTCGTCTCTATTGCCATGATGTGAATGCTATGCTGTTAACTGTCTGGCACCATCTTAAGACAGGGCTTGAATTTGAACAAAACCCCCCTTATCTGCATATGTACTGTATTGCTGTTTTCTTTCTTTTTGGAACATTTTTGTGAATGCTGTCTGCATTTTAACTAATTAAATTATGGGAATTAAAATTACAAAGAATAACGATCTGCCGATCTCCTGTTTTAATTTGGTGATTGATGTTTTAAAGTTGAAGATGTGGGTTTTTCTTTGGATTTTTGTTTTTTACTTTTTCCATAACGCAGCAACCAATGGTATGAGTTTGTGGTGGGACTGTTTGGCCAACCATTGGAAGATGTGAAAAAGTGAAAAATCTATTGGAAAAAAACTTTAGAAATACCGTATGCACAGATATATGTGACTCTGGACCACAAAAAAAAAAAGTCATAAGGGTCAATCATCTGAAAGCTGAATAAATAAGCTTTCCATTGATGTATGGTTTGTTAGGATAGGACAATATTTGGCCGAGATACAACTATTTGAAAATCTGGAATCTGAGGGTGCAAACAAATCTAAATACTGAGAAAATCGCCTTTAAAGTTGTCCAAATTAAGTCCTTAGCAATGCATATTATTAATAAAAAATTAAGTTTTAATATATTTACAGTAGGAAATTTACAAAATATCTTCATGGAACATGATCTTTACTTAATATCCTAATGATTTTTGGCATACAAGAAAAATCAATAATTTTGACCCATACAATGTTTTTTTTGGCTATTGCTACAAATATACCCAGCGTCTTAAGACTGCTTTTGTGGTCCAGGGTCACGTGTGACAGGCATTAAAACATTTTCAGCCAAAAGTTTACAGTTTTATTAGACGACATGGAAAAAAATCACTTCCGTTACACACTTCTATTAATTATTTAATAAAGTAATGACAATAAACTAAAAACTATGCAGACTAAAGTTATTAAATGACAATTAAAAGACAGCCTTCTCTCTTGCTCAATGCTTTGAGTAACATTAAATAAAACATTTTGGTTTCATATTTACAGAGCGCCTGCAGAGATAGTTATGGGAAAAACTAGTTGGGAGGCAAGAAAAAAATATTTGCACATTTTCATAAGAGACTTGGACAATTTCTCTAACAAAATTTAGCTTTAAGTGTATTCGTCAAAAGGATTAAAAGATTTAATATGGAATAGTTAACAGAAATGCAGGAAATCAAATATGAGAGAGCACAGATGTCTCGCAAAAACAAATTTGAAGAACTTTTTTTTTGTTGTTGCAGAGAGAGAACACAAAGTTTTATAAGGGAAGAAAAAAGATTTCATCACCATGTGCCCTCAAGGCTCCAATCACATCCTATCTGAGCTCTCAGATGTTTTTCTACCAAGTTATCCTCATTTTAGAGGTCAATACTTTAGATTTCTGGTGGAATACAGAATCATAGCTTCAGGTAATAAAACAACATTCTCAAAAGGTCCCCAGTATTTACAATTCATTCATGCCAAACATCTTCAAAATCATTAAATAAAAAGTCAAAAGATATCCTCTACCAGTGCTCTTTATGACATCCATGAGCCTTGACCATCTCAGGCGTTAGAGTTTGTGTTCTGGAGGCTCTGTGATCTGCGACGTTGCGAACATGACTAATGCTGCCCGGTTTGGGAGCGTCTGAGTTCTCCACCAGTACCTCGCTCTGACTACAGAGCCTCAGAGCCTGAGAGATAAACACATCCAGGTCAAAATGTTCTTCTCCGGAAGGATCCATCTGTGAAAGCTCTTCATCATTTTCACAACGAATGGAGGAAGACAGGTAATCGGATGAACTGTGATGAGGAGAGGAAGGTGAAGTAGGCAGCAGAGAAGGAGGAGCGGAGAAGAATGGGTTAGGACTCCTGCTGTCGTGAGGGCTGGTCAGTTGCAAAGCCCCTGGGATTTGCATCTGAGAATGAGGCAGCATTGTAGGAGATAGAGGTTGAGGAGGGGAACACGGGGAGGTGAATGGTTCTTGAGGAGAACCAGGCGAGTGGAGACCAGACTGTGTGCTCTCCACCCAGCGTGAGATCTCCTGGAACAGATCTCCGGGCTCGGCGAGAAGCTTCTCCACGCTGCCCCCTCTTGGAGCAGACATGCTGTTATGCCTCCAGTGAGACAGGTCCAGTATTAGCTTGGGTTCAGAGTAGTGCTGCGGCTTCCCTTCCCGCCACGCGATCTTATCCAGGTAGGACGGAGAGCCCACTTTGTAATCGCAGGAGCGGCCGCAGTCCAGCTCTGTGAACTGGCCGCAGACGCGCTCCAGAGACGAGTGGGATTGGTCCAGGAAGCGCTCTGCGGAGCTGCTGTGGGAGTATTTGCGAGGGTCTACCTGAACCTCCTCGATGTGGGCCGTTGAACTCGCTCGTGGATCTCTTTGAACTTCTTCGTCTTCCGCCTCTCCCAGTTCAGAGATGCTCTGCATGCAGCCACACTGCTCCTGCTGCGGCCAATAAACGTCTGACGACAGACTCCCATCATACCTGAAAGAGAAACATGTATACGCACTTTTATGCATATGCATATGACCATTTGTTTGGCATACAAAGTATAAAGTGATGCATATTAGCAGTTAGTCACTGCATTATTTTAAATATATATATATATATATTTAAATGATATTAAATAAAAATCATTATTTTAAGTCGAGGTACAACATTGCACCACCAGCATAAACAATAAAACAGAATTCAATCATTCACACTGTTGTAATAGTTTGCCATTTTTATATTAAAACAAGCATTATTAAATACGATTTGTAAACAGTTCAAAAGTTTGGGGTCATTAAGAATAAAATGAACACTTTTATACAGGAAGGAGAGCACACATTCAATTAGGGGTGGGAGATATGGCAAAAATATATCACAAATTTTTTTTCCCAGGAAAATCACGATTCTTTGTCACGATGGTTTTACTATTTTGCAACTTGTATGAGCAGTACAGCTCAACTAATTTCCCGATTTTAAAAACAAAACCTTTCAAGGTAACAAAATATCAAATAAAAAAGAATGACAGATGGCCAAAGTGGG